TGATGGTGAAAACGGGCATAAGTTTCCAACAATGAGAGTAGAGGTGTTTTATCATTTATACCAATCATTTCCGAATCATGTGTGCTATCGTCCATACATACACAACCCAAGACTTCCTTGTTTCACGGGCTAAACGATAACGATAAGCGCACGCGCCGCTGCGTTTGCTTGAGAAAAACACTTTTCCTACTGGGTAAGGTACTGGTGCAGATTATGAAACATACAATGTCGCCATTTTAGACCCAACTAAGCCAAAAGTATTTTTGTTGCGCATCTGATTCAGATTAATACTTGAGCAAATATTTTATGAACAAAATAATATTATTATGACACTGGGCACTGTTTAAAAACAATCTTTCAGAAAAAACAACAAATCGCTTTCCCAGTCGGTTATTATGTTTTTATTTAGGTAACTAGGATCTTGCCTGTTATTTTTCATAATTCTGCGTTTCAAAACCCTCTACGTATTTTCAGGAAACTGAAAACTGATTTTTGTAAATATTTCATAGGACATCTTGGGAAGTTAGATGCACAAAACGATAGCTGATAGGTTTATGAGAGATTGTCATGTTACTGTTTATACATTTCTAAACTAAAATTATTTTTTTCAGTTTTTTAATTTAAAGCCGAATTTTCATTTTCAGAATTTACTTTACAGAGTTCAATTAAAAAAAAGAAATAAGTCTGATATCAACCAAGGTGCACCTGGTGGGCTGAATTGCAAAAAGCATTCTGTACCAGTCGACCCTAGGTCATACAGAAAAATTAAGATAAATGTGAGCTCAGTTACAACTATCTACGAAGCATTTAAAATACGATACTGTCATAATTCTAAAGACCCTTACCAAACGATGATTTTTCTTCTTTTCTCGTCGTGTCTCTTTGACTTGGTATTTCAGGCAGTCTTAAGTCTAAACGATGATTTTTTCTTCTTTCCTAATCGTATCTGTTTCTTCTGGTATCGACCTGTAAGTTGGTCAATCGGCCATTGGAAAGCAGTCGTAGGTTTCGCGAGGTTCTTGATTCCAGTCCCTTAGCCTCATTCACGAAATGACTAATTTCTTGGGAACTTTCGACTTGTTTAACAAAGTAGCTTGCAGTAGGCCTACTCTTACATAAAAGCGATGAAATAAATAACTACCTACATTTGATTTAATATTATCAATCAATAAAGTGCAATAAATCAAAGTTAGTTGGAAACTATCTGTAAAATAGGAATATAAAAAAATGAGGTTGGTTTTTACAACACCTAAATAAAAGAATTAATTTCTAACCGGAAATAGATTTTCTCAGTTTTTTTTTTTATTTTTTCCTCATTTAAGAAACTACATTCTAGGAATAAAATACGAGTACATTAATAAATAACTGAAAAGTGAAAAATTATGTAGATAATATTATTATAATGTATTTTTTTATCGGAAAATAGTGGAAAAATGGGTTGAGTCACTGTAAGTTTTGTCTAATTTATCCCATACACCCTGATAAACAAATCCTTCTGACGTATTTACTCTTTTACACATTATTCTGTTTACCAACATTCGTGTACTGCAACTATGTTAAGCTTATGTATAAGTCGTACCGTAGCGTTGTTCCATTTTAAACCTTATCTCCCCTCGCTAAAAGCTGTTCTTAGTTCAGCACCATAGCCCATTCCCGTTAGGTAAGCCGGCCGGGTGAACAACCGCATAAACTCAATTATATCTGTGGTCCAAATACTATAAAAGCCTTAAACTAACGCGTTCGAAATTCGAGATTTATTTTTTGAATAATCAATGTTCTGGAACTCGAATAATTTTGATGCTAATTTTTTTAATGCTTTGTTCTTTAAAAAGAACAGAACTTATTTATTTTGTTAAAAACATAATAAGCTTTTTAAATGACATTTATAAACAACATTATTTCCTTTTTTTGTTATTTTAAGTTTTATGAAAATGTAAAACCAATTAACTAACTTAGTAAAATAATTAAAAGCGCAACAAGATATCAAAACCATTTTTTTTTCTTCAAAAAGTATTTTGAAAAAGATTAATCACAAAGGGGCGAACAAACACAGTGTTTGCATGTTTTTATTTGCAATGCCGAACCGTTTTTATTCTACGAAGTGTATTGAAATTACGCGTGGTCTGTGTTATGGGTTCCCAGAAGGCACCCGTGGTTGGATTCACTTTCATAAGTCCTGTTTGCAACATTCAGAGTAGGCGCACACCATTGATTTTTAGTTGGCCGATAGTTGTGTCCGATTTTAATTTGTATGAAGAATCGGCCAAATCGAATCGGCGTAGTGTGCGCACTCCCATACATGCCCGTACTGATCAACTGCCTGACTAAACTATCGGCCGACGAAAAATCAACGGTGTGCGCCTACTCTAATAAAAGCGTATAAAGTATACCCTGCGAGTGCTGTAAGCAAATAAATTAAAATTCGACCAAAATGTACGCGGCACTTTTTTGAGCATTCCTGCGGTGTAGCATTACTTACGTTTTGTTTTTTTAATTGATTTTTGTTTTGTTTTTTAATGTTCTTTTTTCATAATCAATATAAAATAAATAAATCTTTTATTTAATTTCGAATTGAAAGTATTACGACTACAAAGCTAACAAAATAGCGGCATCGTAAAGCAACCTAGTTTTTTTCCAAAATAACAAAGTTCTTCGAATGCATTCTTCCTGAAAAGGAAGGGAAGAACGCCTATTATAGGATCAAGGAAAATACTGAACATACTCAATCGAATTCCGATTTTTTGGTAGACCACAATGTTATAGCAAAACTTATTAAATTATGATATTGTTCATAATATTATAAGTACTTAGGTATGTGTGATTTCAGATTTGCGATTTACTCAAAAAATAATTTGATTACAACCTGAATAAGATGGAAGAAAATACATTGCTGTTTTTCTAACCTGCACCTCTTTCTTCATTTCGAAATTCAGACAGTTTATTGATTTCATTTTACTGTGCAGTAATTTCAATGTAATGTCTTTAAACGATATCAAAGTAAAAATACCAAACCAAACTAAAATCAAATTTTTATTTCTAATTTCTAGTACAATGACCTAACTCGAAACATCAGATAAAAGCATGACTATCAGTTTCCTCGTATGGCACGTTCGATTGTTCAGATACAGCGCTCGAATGCCGCGTAGTGCGTAACTCAGGTAGCCGGTTCAACCTCAATAAACGGGGCTGAGGTGCAGAAGTGCGTAAGTCTGTTTTTATTTAAAAAAACTTAAACGAGATTTTTATTAATAAATCTTAACTGAAAAAAAAAGATGAGGGATTATCGGTGTTTTGGATTGTAATGCCAATGTTGGATAGGATGAAAATATTATAAGCTTTTGACTATTAACTAACTCTAATATTATATTTTTGTAGAAAATATTTCTGCAACAAAATGCTACATTTTGTGACGTATTACCCTACTTAACTTGTCTTTACACTTATATGTTTATGTAACATGAAATATTTCAAACTTTATTACACTCTGTACCTTAAAGTATAGCTAATTCTGAAAACTATAACGTCACTAAAACAGTAACTCAAACTAACGACATCGTTTCTAACTCTAGTCACAAGCCCGAGAAATAAATCTTTGCGACTTATGCGCTTCGTTCCTGTGAAATACGGTTGTAATACTAAGTCTTTTTTTATTTTCTGTGAGTGTCCAACAGTCGGCAGAGCGGGAAACCAGTTTTTATTTGCGGCTAATGCCATCTCCCTCTACTTGAGTTAGAACGCTTTGGTTTTTTGTAGCGTAATTTACGGGGGTAATATTTTTTACTTATTAGTCTACGCTGCACTGGAGCTCGTAGTTCGTAGTTACGGTTCAATTACCTCCAAACAGGTTTGTAACTCACGATTTGAAAGTAATTGTCTTGTTAGTTTGTATGTATATTTTAAAAGAGCCTCAAGGGAACTCTGAAGAATCATCTTTGAAAATCAATGAATATTTTATTGAAAAAGTTGTCTTAAAGGTAGAAAAAATAGAAAACTGAGGGCCTAGTGCGAGTTTACATCAAACGTCAAAAAATGACATTTAATGTATGACGGATTGTACAGCGCACCTAGCGGGAAACGTTCAAAAACTAAAATTTTCATACATTTTTTAAACGCTTCACTCTGGCTGATGGTCTTAATTAATCTTTTATGTTTATGAATCGATAAAATTGACTCAATAACAAATTATTTACCTGAACCTGAAGGCTCTATTCACCAAGAAAATATCCCGAAGCGATTTTAGAGATTATGAAGTAGCTATTTAAAAAGCAACCCAAACCAAATCGGGATCATCCGATATAATTCCGGGTATTCACGCGTCCCGGCATCGCATGACTTACTCCGAAAACTTTTAGGTATTTGGCTGTTGTATTACAAAAGGCAATCGCGACCAGTCGCTATGAAAACCGAGTTAATCGCTATTACCTTTATGGCTATTTTGATAGAAACTGGTCGCTATGACGTTTGAATTAAGACTATATTTTTTTTTGCTTCGGTCGCTAATTGAAATCCAATCACCAATTCTGCAGAAGGAAATTATTTGGCATGGGAAATTTAAATCGAACATTTTTAATTGCATGGAACCCAAAACATTATGTGCATATTATTTTAACCAGATATTAGAAGTTAGTTAGTTTTTTGTTTTTTTTTCTAAGATTAAATATGTAGTAACTACTTTAGTCTGAAGTACAAAAATCAGAAAGTCTTCTTTCCTATTTTATTCTACCTTAGATATACCAGGTAGTGCTTTACTGGTACTATGGACACTAAATATATTTTGCATGCGTCATAGAGACAACTATGAACAAGTAACTATGTATGTCTCTGGACATTAATAATCGTGTTCCTAACACAAACATTTGCCATTTATGAGAAGCTATCCCGGGACTGCTTGTAGTCCTAAACGAAAAACCATTACAATGTTATATTTTTATGAACCTATTTCTCAACCTAAAAGATATATTTTCCAAACATAACTAACCTATTTTTCTCTTTATTTTCAGATTACTGGACTCTGAGGAAACACGCCGATGCTGCGTCTAGTGACAAAGAAAATTAGTTAGATAACTAATAAATACCTCTATGATAAACAGAAGCGAGAGACGTCTATATTATACATATTTGCACTGTGGATTTTATTTCTTTTGTTATGTAATTTTTGGGGTTTCCTTACTTGTACACTTTTGCGCTTCAACATTCGAAATGTAACGCATAATTTATACCGAATTATCTTTTGTTACACGTCTCTCTCTATTGTAATATAAAATATTTTGTAATAAAATTATATTTAACATAATAAATGACGAAATATTAAGGCCCTGTAGAATCTAGTCTGTGATCTCCGCAATAATTTTTCTTTCGTCCAAAGAAAGACGAATAGAAACAGCTTCCTATGTTAATAACGATGTCCTTTAGTATAAGCTTAGTTGTAGAAAGAAAAGGTATAAAATATTGCAACTTTTGTATATGTAGAGACACATTTCAGTGTCTAAACTCTCTTTAGCTGATGCATTTTAGAAAAAATATTGTAACATTATTTGAAACTACAATAAATAAACACGTTAATTTTGAGCAAATTAACATTGTAGTAATGAATTGTAATTTCAGTCAGTGTAACTTAAAAGCAATGTATTTGTTAATCATAATACTTTATTTTATTGTAACTAGTATCAATATCAATTTTGTCATTATTGAAACTTTTTCAGCGAATAACATTTAATTCGTTTTATATTGATTTGAACATAAAACCTATAAATTTTGTATTGTGTCCTCATCAAATTAAATATTTAAGTTGCAAATAAAAAATATTTTAATTATTATTTACTAAGTACCGCATGAAACATGCGGTTTATCTTTAATTTAAATAAATATTATTGTTTAAGAATCACACATAGGTACGGACACAATATTTTGAGAACTTAAATATTATAGTCTCCAGTGTTTAAACACAAGGTAATAAGTAAATAATAAATAAATTTTGCAACACAAATTTTCGACTATACTACAGCGAAATAAATTTTTATTTAACTTATGAAATACCACGAAATGTTAAATCATTATGAATGAAGTTGGTGAAAAATAAAGGAATTATTGTGTATAGTAGTAGATTATTGTACTATAATAATGTAAAAATACGCTTTTGAAAAGATAAATTGTTTAATAAATTTTCATTTATAACTAAATTTTATTTGTTTTACTTCCTTTAGTATAAGTAGGTATACTTCAAAGACTTAAAACACTAATAACTAGCACCTAGGTACCTACTCTAAAATTAAGAATCATGGTAATCATTGTTGGAAACCTAAGGCTGAGTTGCACCACATAACTTTAACCGTAACTATAACGTTAACCGGTGTCTTTTGTATAGAGTTTGACAGATTTTTGACGTTTGTTAAAGTTAAAGTAAAATGGTGCTACCTAGCCTTAGACTCAGTATTAGTTAAGTTAACCTTGGATCCAAAATCTAACCGTTAGTATTAACTAGTGGCTGGTTGGCCCATTCTCACGCTACCCTTCAGTCAAAATCACGAAGAATATCTCCACAAATACTTAACGACTTCCTATAAACGCCCAACACACATTTTCAGCATACCAAATGTGAAACAAGACAGAACTCTCATTTCTGTATTTGGTTCCTTACATAATAAAATTAAAGTCGCAATAAGTCAATAAAGTATTGAGTATTGAATAAGTTGAACAAATGTATCTCATTTGTGAGCTATTAAGCATCATTTTTTATTAATTTTTGTTAAAGTTTAATATAGCAAATTTTAAAATTATTGAAAATCCTAATCATAAAACTTGAAAATCTCGACGGGTTCACCTAAAGTAGTCATGCTCATGGGTTCGATTCCCACCATTAGCAATTCGATGTTTCAAGTTATTTATAGATCGATCGTTTGAGTTAGTTGACGAAAAACTATGTGAAATTATATTACCTACGAATACTATGATGAAGAACACCAATTGGTGATATGGTGATAGGTTTCACACTCCTTATCCACTTTTTCTGTCCCTGGAAGTAACATTCGTGATTAAATTACGTTCAAAGAAACTGAATTTATTCCAATCACTGTATGGGAGCTGGGCTTAATACACTGCCCAGGGAACCCTAAAAATCGTATGTTCTACTGAGGGAGAGGGTGACTCATCAACTGCATCGTTGCAATGACTCACTGTTGCTATGCGCTGGATCTGGCTTGGGAACCGACATAATATCACCTCACCTTTACTAAAGATGATGTAAGAATTTCTAACTTGCTGAGACTTGTGTGTAAAGATGAATCAGGGTTATGAAATTACTTAAAAAAAGGTATCATCTCATCGATAACTTACGTCAGTACTCGTAAGTAGCTAATGTAGGTACTTAATTAATGTAATTATCAATTACCAAACTAGGTAATTAGAATTAGGTATTAATAATACTGTAAGAGCGACTCTAACTATTTCAAAAGTGGTATCTCAAACTAAACTATAGTAGAACATTGCTTATTATCAAAGAAATTTAGTGATCAAGGAAACTGAGATGTGGACAGGAGTTTGTTTCTTCTTTTCGCTCCATAAAAGTATGTAAAGCTCTTCCTTGGTGTCCCTCTCTCAAACCAATGGTAATACCAATCTTAAAAAGATATTTCAATGAAAAATACTAAGTAAATACTTAATAAGAAAACAAACGTTAAAACGTTCCCATTTGTTGTAAATGCAAACACACAACGCCTAAAGCATTTTCTTAGCAAAAAAGCTCCACTTAAAGTTTCGATGCAAACAATTTTCGAAGGAGCTTACGAAGTTACTTAAGATTGCCACTGTTTCTTGGTTTGTACAAAACTAAACAAATTAAGTTCCAGAAGTAGGTACATATTACATTTTTTAAGGTTTCTCAAGTTTTTATATTCAGGAGCTGGTGGTGTGTACTCGTATCTTCTTATTTTATGTTCAAAGACAATTTAAAACTTAAATAATTAATAAATTGTATCGTATAGGTACTATTGCTAATATTCTTAAAAATTAAAATTTTATGTCTTATTCTATGATGATTGAAGAGCCAAAAGAGCAGTTAATTTATTTAGTCAAGACAAAAATAGCTTGTTCCTTTCTTGAACTTAACGATCAGAGTTCTTCAAGATGACTTTGCTCTTACAAAATGATGAGGCGTAATTCACTAACAAAGATAATTTTAGCTCGCATTAACTCGATGTAAAAATCAACAATGAATACCTCAATGTACCTAGTATTTTTTTTACAATAATGAATAATTTATTTCTATTTTCTGTTCTGATGGATATTTAAACAGTTTCAAGCCCTTGATTAGATCGCATTGTGTCAAAAATTAACAATACCTTTGTTAAACGTAGCTATATAAATATTTTACCAAAATCTCATACCTGTTTTAAATTAACCCGTATACACACAGATTTGTATTGTCCAATTGTGATGTAACAAAAACCAGCCCGTGCCATCCAGACTGACTTTGTAAACATTGTGTTTACAGAATCAAATATAAAAATGCGATAAAAACGCATTAGGGCTCATTTTATGTCCATTTGTATGCAAAGCAGGCGCAAAATTGGTCATTTTTTCGACGCAAGCGCAGAGAAGTGACCGTAATTGCATTTTTAAGGGTTATTCTGATGTAAAGCTGCGGTTCGGCCGTGAGCTTTGCGGTGATGAAAATGTTAGCGTTTTGGTAAATCATAAATGTGGATTAAAATTATTATACTTTGATATTATTGTCAATCATATTCTAATTTTTATATTATTATAAACAATTTAATCTCATTAAACAAAAATAATTTTAGTGTGTGATGAGATAGCACCTCAGCACTGCTGCAATTACGATGATACAGCTGCGTAATTTATTAATACTACTTTTCCCTAGCTAATTGTCTACTATAAGATTGGTCGGTATTGGTCTTCTAATCTCTTCAACTTTCCCTGGCATAGGTTAATATTTCATGTGAATTTAGAAAATGTCTGTTTTTATGACATTAAATTCGAGTCTTAATTTATTTTTTCTTCCTTCTAAAATGGTATTTACTAATAGACTTGTCGAAGCCAGCTAACCACTAATAGAGAAATTACGTTTATGAAAAACCTTCCTTTCCATTTTTATCCAGTAGGGACTTCAACGTGACATCAAACCGCTGCCGTTACAGCAAGACCCCAGCCTTACAATTTTAAATTTGGAATGCGTGGATGAGTGATGTTGCGCACGCGTTGATTGGCTATTGTCTGCGCAGCTTGCAGCGCATCTGGCAGCATCTGCACTAGATTTGAGCTGTAGCAAGAGGTTGCTTTAAATAAATACTTAATTAAGGGAAATAGAAAAATTTAAGATTTTTTTTACGTATCAATACGCTCTTGCAGGTTGTACCTACCTTTAGGTAATAGACCTCCAAGGACTATAAGCAAGGATGAAGCTCCATAAATTTTGCTCTTTCTTATGCAAAATGAGTTTAATACCTATCTACTCTCAGATCATTTTGAATTTTTATCACCACTAATTTCGATATCGCAGTAAATGTCACGGCACTGAATTCGTTCGTAAAAATGTTTAGTTTTTTTTATTTATAAGCAAAATACCAATGGATTTGCAATACTTACATGTGGTAAATGACTTCATTGTTCCTGTAGTTCTTCGTTTCACTTATGTTATTGCACGTTACGACGCATTATCCAACAATATCGGAGAACATTTCCTCAGTACGACTGAATCGCGACTAACCTGGCGTCGCGGCCGATGTTCGTTTCTGGGCATATCGCGGAGACACGCGCCACGCCCCCGTTTCACATCTATTCCCTTCTATAATCTGAGTATCTACTTAATCCGACATAGCTCGCAGAATTGCCAAAATCAAGTGGCAGTGGGCGGGGCACATAGCTCGTAGAGACGATGGCCGTTGGGGCAGGAAAGTTCTCGAGTGGCGACCACGGGCTGGAAGACGTAGCGTGGGCAGGCCTCCTACTAGGTGGACCGACGATCTGGTGAAGGTCGCGGGAAGAGCCTGGATGCGGGCAGCGCAGGACCGTTCATTGTGGAAAACCTTGGGGGAGGCCTTTGTCCAGCAGTGGACGTCATTTGGCTGAAAACGAAACGATCTACTTAATCAAGACTAATCCTAATCCTTTCTTGAAAGACATTATTATTGTCTGTGGTCAGTAGTAAAATCGGATGAAAAGTAGCATTTGAATTCACTTAAATATTTATTAATGTTTAAGAAAATTACTATTAAAATATTATTTGGTTCACGCTACCCGACGATAGATGTCGCCTGAAGTTTCGGTTTGAAAAGACACACGACACCTTAGCGCGAAGCTCGAAGGATAAAAATTATGACTGTATCGTAACTGTAAAATAATAGTTTATGTTTTTATTAAGGACAGAAAAGCATCGTGCTTTTAAAGAAAACTTAGTCTTAGAATTTATCATTGAGTAGGAAAAAACTGACCAGTGTTATTTTCCTTATGGAAAATCATTGCAGGAATCTTTAAGTCCAGAGAATAGACTAGCCCAAGTACCATAATGAAGAAATAGTAGTATGTTGTATGAATAAATTGGACTTATAACGACCATTTTGAACTTTTACAACGGTCAAAGTTACCACTTAATCAAAATGCAAATCCAGTAACTTGATTAAACATTAAAATGGTACAATACCGTCACAATTTCTTCAATAACCCTAATTTGCCGGTGTTGTATAAATTTTACGCATCGAGCGCGGGGGTGGGTTCGACCTTAACGTCTTATTACGCGGTATGTTGGTCGAGGGTTTGACCACAGCCCTAAACGAAAGTAATTGTAAAATTGTAGACATTAACAGACATGCCTGAACATCAGTGAACATTACTGTAATAAATGATGTTTAATAAAATTTGTCCCAAGAATACCTTTACCTTAACGCGTTTTATTTAGTCAGTCGATAAAACTGTGCGTGATATAGTAACGCCCGTATTCACAAACGATGCTTGCTTAAGTGAAGCAGCAAATCGGCACAGCATTGAATAGAGCTCTGAACGCACAGCGTTGATTGATGTATAAAATACTTATAAATTGCTTT